TCGTCTGTAATCCAGCTACTAGGAGTTTACGAATTGTGGGTATTCATAGGCATGCACTGTGTATGCGATACTCCCTGGTGTGGATTAACGTTCGCACGAGAGAGTACTACGACTATCCGCAGTACTATCCTGATAAATAGACCAATTCGTATATACCAAGGCAAAAATGTGGTTCGGATTCCACTATAAACTGTAGGTCCCTTAGTTGCCATTAGCTGTATGGGCTATTAATTAACATTCTAAGGAATGTCGGCCTTAGTCACTAACAAGACTACAAGATCGCGCCACTCATCCTACTGTGACGGGTAGTCACCACAAATTATTTTCTAAATTTTGGGATTATATTTCAAAAGTAAAAGACCTGGTAAATGGATTTCACAATGCATATACCAGTGTCAGAACATTGGCATTTAGTAGACAAAATTCTTGATGACACGTATCTTGCTCAATCGACCGACCCACAAAAACCGTAGACTTAGCAATTGTACTTTGGAGAGACTGAGGTTGGAGTTGACCGAAAGGAAGACACTTGGCCCCAGTCAATTCACGGGGACATATCGCCGGTCGCCGGGTTTTTGGTAAGGCGATTACTTTATTAATATTTCAACTTTATAATTTTTGTGATTGTCCAGGCTAACTTAACTTTTTAAAGTCAGTGATTGATTGATGTTAATTATAATCATTTTTATAATAATTGATTTCATTTATAATTTGTGTGAATAAATATAGTTACTATTAAATTCCTGTTTGAATATAATAACGTGTCAAAAAGAATTATAATTATTAGAGCTTTATATAAATTTCATTTGCTTAGGCCTACTTAAATAAAAGGAGCCTGTAATTATTTTATCATCCATTTTTATTATTGTCTTTATTATTATCTTTATCATATTGTCCATCCACTTTATTTGAATAATGATTAAACATTCTTTTACCTCTCACTAAAGTATTCTTATTATTTAAATCGATCCCAGTTACGCCCCCGGTCACGATTCCAATCGTGGCACTACACTTATCTCTATTCATACTTGGCTTAAAATACCTGCTTTGTATGGTCGCCATTTCATAAGAAAGTATTAAAATAAAGTTATCTTGTGCTCCTTGCAGTAAGCCCAAAAACGAGAGTAACACTTCTTCTGGGCGTCTCCCTAACCTTTGTATATACAAATTTAATACTTTATACACAATCTTTAAATACAAAATATGACCTAGTTCAAAGTCTGAGGTTATGTTGAACAAACGATATGGAATCTTTTTATGAAAAAAATGTTGACGGCTTAACTTTATCTGAATTTATTTCTCAGTTAGCTATAAATCAGTAGCTAATATATCAGAAGTAAGTGAATTTAGAACTAATGAAGTGGTCTCTAAGTATGATAAGTTGGAATTCTAATTGAATTTCAGTTGGTTTTCCGTTTAAATATACTCAGTAAATAATCGTTGAGCTCTAAACTTGTAAGCTAATTAATTTAAATTTCTTTCATAAAAAAGGTAGTATAAAACACGCTAGTCGAGTGAATTTATCTTCTCTTTGGGAACATCCCATTATTGGTGTCGTTTCCTTGACATCAAGCAACAAAACAAATAAATCGGATCTAATATGTTAATCTGGAACGTATTTAATGTGGAAAAGGCTAATATAATCAGCGTAGGTATTATAGGTTGTTATATAGTATACTCGAACGCTAGTATTGGAATATTCTGATTTATTATTATATTCACGATTATTATAAGAACAAATCACATAGAAAACTGAAGATTATTTGAAAATATATATTATTGCATTGAATATTAAATTATATTTCAATAGAGCTTGTAAATAAAACCAATAGATTTCACTTCTATAACATCTATATCTATATATCTATATATATATACTTATTTAATACGCAAGCAGGTTTTTGTGACAATTACTCCTCCAAAACTACTGAACCGATTGACATGTTTTTGGTGTCATTGGAAAGAGCGTAACGTGAAGTTGTGCAGGCAACTTTCTTTTTAGGGAAATAACTAGAAAGTGAGGCCCAAGAACTCTTTAAAGTTTCGTATTTCTCCATAAGATTAACATGGGATACACACATTGTCATGAAACTCCAGCTGTTGTCAGAAATTAAAAGTGAGAAGAAGAACATAAACAGTCAATGTGTAAAAAGCTAGCAGAGATAACTTTTTACACAAAGATATGGTGTACAGGGATATCCATCTTCACAAATAAATGATTTGATTTGTATCTTTTGTTCAATTATATTACAATAAGCTGTTTTACATTTTGAGCATTTTAGGAACATAATATGTCCCTACCTGCCACTAGTTAAATATTATTCCTTAAGTTTAGGTTATTTACATGTATATTCATCCCCTAAATCTATATTCATAAAGGAGAAAAACAAGAAGTCTTAGAGTAATCTTACAAACCGCGATCATCAATTTGCTTAATTATGTTGTTTGAATCAAGCTTCCACGTGGATTTGTTTAGCTTAACCACAACGTGGTAACAAGCTAATGGATTACTGAACAAGTAACCGATGCATTAACTATAGTGGAACTTGAACATCTTTCCAACTTTGAATGGTTTATAGTTACTCGTTGAACTTTTTATGGTTATTCAATAAACATCTTTCAAGTTATTCACAGATTCATGTATACAAACTTAAATAAGGTAATTCATATATTTTTTAATTATTTCAAAAAACTTAAATACAGGTATTTTAGCTATTACCATGTGACGAAATGTTTTAGGTTGGTATTAAAGTGAAGGTGTTCTTAAGGTATCAAAATTTGTTCAACTGGAAGACGCATTAAAATTACTAATACAACACTCAAGATGTACAGTATAGTCACTATGAATTTACATATAGGTACTCTTATTCATTAGTATAACATGTGTATTTATTATAAGGAAATCAATTACTTTTGCTTATAAATTCATGTAAACAAATGAGTTTGGATTGCCAAGATTCATTATTTATATTTATTTTAGGACTTCAAGCATACGTTGACATAAGATTAACTTTCGTTACATGTACCTACAAACCAATTAAATGTTGCTAAACATAATAATAAATAAGCTTAAAACAAGAAAATAAATAAAACATAACAATGATGATTATGCTCTGAAAGATGTAAATTTATTATTCACAATCTTTAGTTGGTAATTATTACATAAAGTTATTAAATTTTCAAAATTAAAATTCAAAGTAATGTAACCTTACAACAGCTAGGTAAATACCGGCACAGCTCTTTTATGCCGAGCGGTTCTTTCGTTCCTTACCACTTCATCAGAGCTACTCCTGGTAATAAAGAGGCTTTGTATAGAGGGCTCAGTTTGCATACATTTACATGAAATGCGGGACAATGTAGATGGTTTGCAGCAAAGCTATGTAAAGTACATTAATGTTCGCTCTTGGTCCATTAAACAATCCATTTTGTTGTTTGAGTTGCAGCACTTATTACATAAAGTTGAAGTGCTGTTACTCTCCTATCTAATAGTTTTCAAGCTGAAAAGTTGAAATTTGTTAGTATGGTATACATATTTCATGTGTACCATTTCAAATGAATACGCAACGGTGTTTTTGTGTGCTAATATGTGGACTTTCTTTTAAGATATTTTTTAACTGTTTTATCGAGTTTAATATTTGTTTACTTAAGGTGTGTTGATCAAAACACAGCATTACCTAGTTTTGTTCCGTTGCAAGTGATAGTCATGCCGTTTTATAATTCAACATTTAGGCTAAGTAGAACGGTAGAACCAAAATATTTATAAAAAGGTTTAGTATAACATTTTTATAAGTAAGTTTTGGTATTGATCACGTATGTTTACTTGAAAGTTCTCTTCTTTTAACGTTCATTAATGTAGCGAGTATAATGATAGTTTATAGGATGAAGAAGTATTAGTCCACTCAAACATAAACGGAATAACACCTGCCAGATTAAGATACGCATACATTAAATATGACGGGAAGTATATTCCCTTTATTTGGCATTCCGTCCAAGAGGTGGACTGAATGAACTCTGGATTTAATATATTAATTATTTTTATTTTTTAAATTTCAGTTTCCAAATAACCCAAGTTTGTTTGGAATACCACGCGGCTCGCAGTCATTGTTGAGACATATTTGGCTGGCAACGAACGAAACACTTCATTAAGGAAAGTAAATTATATTTAAATTTCGATTACATGTTTTTCTGAATTAGTTAAAGTAATCAAAAGTTGAGCTTTTAGCGAATTTCCCTATAGGGAAGTAGCTATTACCGTAGGTGGCACGGTAAGACCTAGACCCGGGACCAATTTACTTTTTCATTTTGATGTCCCCAGAGCCCAAAAACACCATTCGTTAAAATTTTTATATATGTATATATATATAAGTCCGTGAACGCGATAACTTGAGTAATTTTTGTCCGATTTTGATGAAATTTGGTTTAAAGGTGTAAAGGGGGATAAACTTGAATGAGTTTGCGAACCAGCACGATCGGACCATGGGAACGGGGCTTTACGGGGGGTTTTATGGGGTAAAAATTGGTTTTTCTCACTTTTGACCCTCAAAACACAAAACTTCCCGATTTCTCTTTAGACCTTTTTAAAGAGCTTAAAAAAACAAATTTAGTATACAAAAGTATTTTTGTTCGATTATTAGTAACGGAGAAAATTAAAAAAATTGTAAATTTAAAATTCCCATGTTATTTATTTATTTATTTATTTATTTCCCAACGGATTGCACCTTTTTACAAAATATGTGTATACAATTTAGATGGCATTTGCAATATTACTGACTAGAAAAGTAATAACAATGGTAATAACAAGTGATAATAAATAGTAATAGCAAGTAATAACAAATAGTGATAACAATAGTAATAACAAATAGTGATAACAATAGTAATAACAAAGTAATAACAAATATTAATAACAGAAGAATAAACTAAAAAGAGTATCAACAAAGAATATGAACAGCAAGTTTTAACGATGAGAAGACAAATGTGCAGATGTGCTGGAGTGTGGTTGCTCAAGTGATCAGGGAGACCTTCTTTTTGAACCGGAGGGGCTTCTCACCGAAGAAATCCAGTTGAGCAGCCGCCGTGCTACCAGCCTTGAGTAGACGGCTAATTCCGCTGTTGTAAGAGTAGTAGGCTGGGAGAAAGCGTCTGCTGAATATAGTCCTGGAGCGGGTGCCTCTGGGCGTGGTAATGTCGATACCACTCAGGATGTTGGGGCAATCGACAAACCCGTTAACCAGCTTGTAGAGCATGAATATGTCGGCATGATGACGTCGGAGTGACAAAGGCAGAAGATCGAAGGACTTCTCCACATCGTCAACCGGGGTAGTGCGGTAGGTAAAACCAAGTCTCGGTCCAAGCATCCGTATGAAGCGGGTTTGTATGCTCTCCAGTTGGCTGACGTGGTTCTTCTGGAAGGGAGACCAGATGATTGACCCATACTCCAGCAGCGGGCGTACCAGGGACTTGTAGAGCGTGATCAAGGTGAAGGGTGAGTTGAAATTCCTTGTTGATCTGAATATGAAACCAAGCAGGGAGCTAGCTTTGGTTGTAATGTGGGCAATGTGCTCGTGAGGGTTGAGCGAAGGGGTCATTGTCACTCCGAGATCTCGTACCCTGTCCACTCTCTTCAGTGTAGAACCATTGAGGACGTAGTCATATTGGACTGGGGCTGCACCACGTTTGTAGGAGATGACGACACATTTCAAGACGTTGAGCTCCATGAAGTTTTCCTTGCACCAGGCGTCGATGTTAGTGAGAGAAAGTTGGAGGCGCTCAAAGTCAGAAGCCAATGACACCGAGCTAAATACCTTAATATCATCGGCGAACATGAGAAATTTGAACATAAGAACATAACATAAGAACATAAGAAATTTTTTATATTCTTATGGGGAATATTGTCTAATGTTGTAGTTCGCTTGTTTATGGATATATTTTGATAAAACTTGGCAAATTTATTTATTTTGTACTAAGCTATCAATATTTTACTCAAAAACACACTTTATTAGTTTCCTTGTAACAGCAAACCTAGCTACTCGTTAAACCTAATGTTATTAAAATATATTTAACTGAAAATCAATTCAGACAAATGGAAATTCGCTTAGTCGGCAGGTTTGCTGTGGCGGGGGTATTTTGTATACAAATAGATTTTAAAATACAAATGGTTGCTTGCACCCTAATTACTTTAAATTTTAGATGTATTCATACTGTTTAATCGTGTCACTTTAAAGTTTTGACCATGAAATATAATTTAATAATACAAAAAGGTTTTACTAGTTGAGGATAAGTTGAGGTATTGCATATTATAATATATATTATAAACTGGGCCCAGCTGTTCCTGATAATTGGGCTTTAAATAAATGATCCTGACTAATGAAACCGCTGATCATAGTCAGTAACAAAGCTACACAGGTCATCACACACCATTCTACACTCATACTTCACTCATATTTGGGTTAAAATACGCACCTAGGTGGCGTCCCCATCTCAACGATTGATTGATTGATTATTCGAAATCAATATAATGACATCAATCAATAGAGAAGGGGAAACAAAAAGAAAATATATTTAGCGATTTATTATTTTGATTATTACTCATTACAAAACAATTTAAGTAGTGGTAAAATCTAATCTTTTCTAGGAACTGCAAGTTAAGTGATAATTTAAAAACTCACACTTACATTATAACAAATTCTTTAATTAACTAGGCTGATAAATTCAGATTGAGATTAGCTAAGTGTTCTATTCTGATAATAACATAGCAAGTATTCAAGATCCAATTACATTTAAACCGAACGTAAATCGCAGCCAGGAGAGGCGTTAAAGAACATTTGGCTTAGCAAGAGCAAGATAACACCGTGTAGAAGCACTGTTTCACTTACACTAATACCTCTGTTGGTACCACTGTATTTCACCCTTGGGGTTGCTTTATGTACATTGTACAACCCTTCGCCACATGGATGGGGACGCAAAGTAGAGTGTTTTAATCTAAATAAGATCAAAATACAGGGTGACAAAAAAGTCTGGAAACGGTTTAATATCTTTTTACCTAAATCCGTAAGAAAATTCAAACCTTTCACATCAACTTACATGTATAAAACCTACTTTTTCCTAGAATTATCATTTTTTTACCTCTACCAGGGGACAACCCACGAGGAGTAGGTACATAATCTTAAACGTAAGCATAGGTTGATATGCACATCATTTTAAAGGTCCGGTCAAGTGGAGTTCATTGCCGGAAACCGCGTCAAAAAAGGTTCATCCGTTACAAAATGGCGGCTGCCCAAAGTTCTTGTTGAATATACCTACACAGGCCTTACTATTGGTAAATACTCGTATTAAACATTGGCTTGAGAGCTGAAACTGTATTTTTAAGTCAACTAGCTCATAGACTAATATTATTCAATCTTCCAAACCAATTTAAACGGGTTTCAGATTTCCTGGCTAATGTTGAATATGAGTATTTACCAATACTAAGACCTCTGCAAGAACTTTGGACTGCCGCAGTTTTGTGACGGATGAACCTTTTTTGACGCGGTTTCCGGCAATTAACTCCACTTGACCAGACCTTTAAAATGACGTGCGTATCAACCTATGCTTACATTAAAGATTATGTACCTACTCCTCATGGGCCGTCGCCTGGTGAAGGTAAAAAAATGGTAATGCTTGCAAAAAGTAGTTTTCATACAAATAAGTTGATGTAAAAAGTTTGAATTTTCTAACGAATTAAGTTAAAAAGATATCAAGCCGTTTCCAGACTTTTTTGTCACCCTGTATAGTAAGATGCGTGTGATAGGTTTAGTAATTTTATATGAGTAACTGTTTTTAGCTAGGTTCATTTGCAAATTTTCTCATGATCGAGGATAGTTGGAGAAGTTACATTTGGCCATCAAATAATAACAGACTCCCCCTAGGATTGAGCTGGCAACCCTCTGATTAGCAGGCGTGCACTAAAACACTCAACAACAGAAATATTTTATTGTACTAATTATTTGGTTAAGTTAACATCGTTATGGTCAAGTATCAATTTAAAACTGCATTTTGTTATTTAACAATTAATTTATATCAATACATGAAATGGTGGTTAATCAACAGTAAGAAGCTACTGTTCCGATTTTAAACCTAATTTTAGTATATTGACAATCACAATAATAATATTTTATAATTTAATTTAAAAATTATTCGTTGATATAACGGTCAACGCAAACGAAGTTCGATTTGCATTTTAGACAATAGCTACTTGAGCAATATAATGTTAAAACCGTATCAGACGGATCAACAACAAAATAAAGGTATCATCATGAGGAAATCCCCCAAAGCTATGTATAACTTACTAAGATATTTGCTTTTGGTTTTTGATAATATCCACCATGATATATCCCAAGATAATACATCTATTTTTATGTTTGTATAGTATACTAATTTAGTGAGCTAAATCTAGCTTATTCGAAATTCCAGAAGATATACTTTTATCTCATTAATTTGAAAGATAACCTTTTCAAAAAAGATATTTACTACTTATGGCTGATAAAAAAACTATAATGTTACTCTTAAAATAAATTACCGTAAAAATATTTGTTATGTTAGTGTAACAGAGAGCAAAAGTGTGAATAAAAACCTTCTGCTATTGACAGCTATGTTGAGTCCCTTCATCTAAAGATTGATGTTGCACTTTATCTGGCGATCTTCAGGCCTCTTTGAGATGATATAGAACATCCTTACATAAACGTAAAAGCATGTAAAGTATATCTATCCGTCACTTTCTAAAGATTTATTCTCAGTTGTTATGTTTCGTTAGTATTTTACCAGCAAGTAATACAATTATTATGTTAACTGTATTTTTTTCTTATTTATGGTGATTGTGTATTCATCATTATTAGAGTATATTTAATATGAAACTAAATATTAAGTACTATTAGGTATTAGGCTGATATAAGGTTAAAACTTTAAAAGTAGTACATTTTTTTCTTATTGTTAACTAGGTAAAAAAAATTGTGTTAGTGTGTTGTACATGCCAACAAAATAGTATGGTTTCACATGCGAGGATAAATTTTATTAAGTTTAATTTTATAAAATATATCAACATGCCTACTATAGGTATGCTATTAAAATCATAGGTAACTAAGCCAGCCTAACTGGGGAGGGGGCACTTACTTATTGATGAGATTAAATTTAACTAGATGGATTAGGCAATTTGCAAACTAGAGATCGAAATAATGTAACTAACTAAGTAATAAACTTGGATTTTAAATAAAATTTTGTTGAGCAAAATTTTAACTGATGTTTTATCTGACTTTACCGACTTTTTATATGGAAACTTATGTTTTGTACGTAAGCATATATCTAAACCTTTTTTAAACTGACACAATTCCTCAAGGACTAATGAAATATAGACTGTAATTGCACAGTGCTAAAAAATACAGATAATTTAATTTTCTTGTCCAGTTTTCACCCTTGTGTGGATAATTACAATTAGATAGGGATGCTCTGTAATTTAGGCAGTACCCTTAACTCTTACATGTTATAAACAATGCTGCTGCAAATTCAAATAATTTTGTAGGAAAACCTTTTGTTGTACTTTTGTTCTTAAATGAATCACACTAACATTTTGCTGAAATAGATACATTTTAAGATTTACTTAAATATAAATAAATAATAGTATCCTATTCTGTTAAGAAAATGTTCCCTTGCAACAACATTTTAACATTGCAACAAAAAATATGTATAGTTCAGTATTTTTGTTAAAAGAAATCTGTTGACGTTACAAAAATGACTCTTAATTATTAATTTATTATAAAAGTACTACTGCCATAACTTATAATACCGTAAATGGATGTTCCACCAAGTATTAATCTAATAACTGACATATGCAACGTAGTTAGTGTGTCATGGCGTGGTTGGAACAAAATATGATCATGTAAATCAGGGCATTGTAATGTTACGTAATGTAGGCCTACGCAATTAATTATTGCACCCCTTTTCCGGCTTTAATAAAAAGGTTTTTAATTATTTTCATCCATTATTTGATGAATATATTGAGGGATTGAAAGCAATTGTTATTTTATAATATAAAGGTTGAAGAACAGAAAATTATACATATATTAGCCTAAATATAGGAGATGAGTTGTGAAGTTTTAAAATTAAATAACTCCTGTTTTACTCGTATACCATGCGGCGATAAATATTTTTGAGTAAATTATCTTAGTTAATGTTCATAACAACACAGGTATTTAAGAAATCCTAATAATACGAAATTGAAGAAAAATTGTATTGCTTCGAGAAATATGTTAAATCTACAGAGCTATAAATAGAATACACTTTTATAACATGTTTATTACATAAAAATAATATTCATTGTTCTTAGTTGTGTAACAGTAACATGAACATTAATCTACAAAATTACATGCCAAATTATAAGGATTAGGAAAAGGTAAATAGTTTACTGGAAACTTAATGCTAAACGTGATAAAAAAGGAATAAAATAGTCTTAAAGTTGGTTTAGATGCTACGATTCGTCGCGGCCCTAGTCCTGAAAATAGAGGGATCAAAAACTTACTTCAGAAATGCTCATGTATGATTACAGCAAGCATGCAGAATAAGCTTGTGGGAAGACAATACATGCTCGTTAAGCTTCATCAACGGGTATTTGAACCGTATGAAAAATTGATAAAGAAAAACTCTTCAATTACAGAAAAATATGTAAACAAAAAAAAAACTGAAATCTGCAACTTGTTTACTACAAATAATTTTACCTCCTCTAAAAACTGTACGTACCATGGTTGATTTCATCCTACAGCAAATACGATGCGTGACTCAATGAAAAATTATAAAA